TGAATGGCAGAAATGAATGGCCAGAGACTGCTGAAATTGAATAAGTGAAACTGCTGAAATTGAATAAGTGAAAACTGATTTTTTTCATTCACTTTTCATTCATTTCCAACAATTTTCACACAACATACCAGCAACAATTCTCATTTTTTTCACATTCTACAATCTACTACATTCATTTCCACCTTCAATTTCAATTATTCAATATAAATTATCACACTATAAATTTACAATTACAATCTTATACATCAACTTTCTTTGAATTCTTGATTTCTTTCCATGTTCATTATTTACCTATTTAGTTACTTACTATACAGTCTATAATATACAAATTACAATACATGTTTTATACATTTCATCACAATTCACAAATAGATCCACACTCATTTGTTGAGGGCTTGTTCGGCATCCAAGACGAATCATCTATAACGCCGCAAAATCAATTACATAATGAATTTGTCGATTTCAACGAAGTAGCCATCCCTGAAAATATTTCAAATTTGGATGCTCTCGGTAGTAGTAATCCAATTGTTTTGGATGACGTTGATGTTCCTGAAACGGAACATGAGAAGGAACATGAAGTAGATATTCGCGATGTAAGAGGGGAGTAAAAGGGAAAAATATAGTCAAAATGTTAGGATCCATTTAAATTGATTTCAACGGGTCATGTGGTCGATGGAGTCGTTGAGCCTAAAGTAGTATGTAATTATTGTCAACGATTAACATAACAAAAGGGCATTGGTACCAACCACCTCAACCGGCACTACAAAGCATGTGCGTCCAAACATGTGCTTCTTACTGCCAGTCAAACGTAACTGCAATTTGGTAGTCCAGCGCCAGTTCTACTTGTACGACACTTTGCACGTAAATGTATTCAGAGGAGAAAGCTCGAATGAGAATTGTGAAGTTCGTTGCTGGAGCTGAATTGCTTCCGACAATAGCGGACAACCAACATTTCGTCTCTTATGTGAAACTAAATCTTCAACTGAGATACGTTGACGTAAGTAAAAACAAACTTCTATCCGTTGCCACCCCTGCAAAATTTACACTCTTTATTTTGAATTAAAAATATATAAGGAGCATAATTTTTTTTTGAAAAAGAGACGCTCGGCCCATTGCCACCCCTACAAAATTTACACTCTAGATTTTAAATAAAAAATATCCAAGGAGCATAACTCCTTTTGAAAAAGAGACAATTAGTCTTTGCTGCACTACCTATCTCCAGTGGGAAAAAAAAAAACTATTACATTATGCATCCTTGTGAAATCATGTTTCTCGATTAAAACCTAATTTCATAAAATTGCAAATGTGAAATTCTTCTTTTTGTGAATAGCCTTAATCATCATAGACAATGTACTACTATAGTAAAATATTGCGAAACAACTAATTATTTGAATAACAATCATGCTGCATGTACATAATCATTCACACAATCTTTTACACCCCCTCACATAGAGAGGGGGTCCCACACACAATAAAATATTCGCGCACACTATTCATGTGAGATAGGTGTACTTACACCTGGTGTACAAACAATTTTATCCTTTGAACAATTGGTTGAGGACCGTGAATTCATTTTTCTTAATCAACTAAGACAAGGTGAATTGATAATATTACGTCAGCCCCCAACTATTGTGCATGTGAAAGGGTATGAAAATCTTACTGTAGAGATTAAAACATTCAAATTTCAAAATTTCAGCAATAATTTAAGGAGCTGATTTGCGGCTCTTTTTGAATTTTCTACAGATACATGATTAGGTTGGCAGTTGGCACCAACCAATCATCAATCAACGGAGGGATAAAATTGTAAGCATTAGATTTCATGTGACAATAAAAGTTACTAATAAATTGAGTCAAACAAATGCTAATTTTTATTTTTTGGTAAGACATTATTTCAAAACCGGCTCTTAACATGTTACCAACCACCAACCTAATTAAAAAACTTTATTCCAATCTCGTTTAATTGAAATTTATATACCGATTTATTCGCTTATTCACTACTTTCCTTTTTGGTTTTTCCTTGGCTCCTTTGCGTTCAAGTTGAGAGAGTATTTCATTCGATATTTCAACGCACGTAAAGCCTCTTAGTATAAACACTAATTAATCTTTTCTGATTAGAAATTATTTTTTACTTGGAATCTTGATATAAAATTAATTTCAAGCAGAAAAGTTCATACAGAAAAAATATTGACGAGTTAAATATTGCCAAGAAAAACCATGACCCACTTATTTGTGTGTATTCTGTGTACTGTCAGTGTGTGTGTGTTTTTTTTTTCCATGTACACATTGATTCTCTCGTAACTTTAAGGTTCTAATATAAAATATTGTTAACTGTTATTTTCAACACCAATGTGCCAGGAAGAAAGTGATCTGCTTAACGGGTTACAAAAAGGATGACTAATTTAAAGAAAAATCCCAATAAAATGCAGCGAGTGGCCAGCAAATGCTTATTCAATTTTTTTAATTAATAAAAATAAAAGTGGATTTAAAAAGTTCTCATCTTTACAGACTTTTCTTAATAATTTTTTGAAAAAAATGCTAGTAATAAAGTGACAGAGGTAGGACAATGATTGAAATTAACACACATGGGATGAGAATAATAATTTCATCCATCACTTGTATAAACTCATATATCCATACTTCATCCCCTCTTGGCTTCCTCACACCACCCAACGCAATGTCCTGCGTTAAGGATTTCTTCGCCGGCGGCGATCAAATACCCATATCCAAAAAGAAGAAGAAATTTGTACTTCTATCTCTTGCTGCTTCAGTCTTATTATTAATAGCTGGAGTAGTCGCCGGAGTAAATTCAAGAATTGCCGGTATAAGAATCTCCCAAGCTCACACCATTGTCAAATCTTCATGCAACAGTACATTATACCCAGATTTATGCTACTCCACCATAGCCAATGTTCTTACAGAAAACAAAAATGTGAAAAGCCAAAAGGATGTAATTGAATTAGCCTTGAATATTACTCTTACTACTCTTCAGCACAATTACTTCAAGGTAGAGAAGCTCAAAGCTAAGGGCAAGAATTTGACAGAACGAGAAAAAACTGCTTTAAATGATTGTCTGGAGACGATCGATGAGACCCTTGATGAACTCAATGAAGCTGTTGAGGATCTTGAAGAGTATCCCAACAAGAAATCTCTTAAAGAACACGCTGATGATCTGAAAACCCTAATGAGTGCTGCCATGACTAATCAAGAGACCTGCCTCGACGGATTCTCGCACGATAATGCTGATAAGAACGTTCGAGAAGAGTTGATTAAAGCAGAAGATCATGTGGAGAAAATGTGTAGTAATGTTTTGGCTATGATCAAGAACATGACCGATACAGATATTGCAAATGAGATGAAATTGAGCGGAAGAAAGCTTATAGAAGATGATGATAGTGGCACGAGAAAGTGGTTGTCTGCCGGAGACAGGAGGCTACTGCAGTCTTCCTTCGTGACTCCTGACGTGGTGGTGGCGGCTGACGGCAGCGGGAATTACAGTACGGTGTCTGCAGCGGTGGCTGCCGCGCCGGAGAAGAGTAGCAGGAGATATGTAATTAGGATTAAGGCTGGTGTTTATAGAGAAAATGTGGAGGTGCCCAAGAAGAAAACTAACATAATGTTCTTGGGAGATGGCAGAAGCAACACTATTATCACTGGAAGCAGAAATGTAATAGATGGTAGCACCACCTTCCACTCCGCCACTGTTGGTCAGTTCATTCTTCACTTTCTTATTAGTTAATCCGACCATTTACTACAACCAAACATTGAATTGGGGTTTCTTTGGATTTGCATTATGCCACTTTTATTGCTAATTTCTTGGTATTATTTAAATTGCTAAAGGGTAAGCATTATTTACTCGATAGTCCATAGGAATCGAAGCAGAAGAAAGATAAACATATTTGTCTTTGATATCTAGGGCCTGTTTGGTATGGATTTTGATTTTCTACCGTAAATCAATTCTCATTTTCAACCACACATTTTTCAATAAAATAATATTTTCTATCACATCAATAATTTTTTCTTCTTTTTCAACCACACATTTCCCATCATATCACTATTCAAAAATCAATTCTTCCCCCAAAAATCCCTACCAAACGGGCTCTAGATAGATGAGAATGATAATCATTAGAAAGGAAAGGGAGGGCGTAATTTCGGGGAGATTAAAATTAGATTTTTTTTTTTTTTTAACAAATTATGATAAAAATTGTTGAAAATTTGTGAATCCTAAAAATATACATAGTTAAAATTAATTATTGATTTTAACTTGAAATTAATTTAGATATAGAGTGTGTTTGGTAGGGATTTTTAGGGGAAAATTTGATTTTTGGATAGTGATATGATGGGAAATGTGTGGTTGGAAAAGAAGAAAAACGTATTAATGTGATGGAAAGTATTATTTTATTGAAGAATGTGTGGTTGAAAATGAGAATTGATTTACTATAGAAAATGAAAATCTGTACCAAACAGAGCCATAGTTGGCAAACTAAGCCTTGATAGGGATTAAAATAAAAAATAAAAAAAATTATCGAAATTAATTTTAACTCAGATTTTTGGTTAAAAATTTAATTTAAAAAGCTGAATCTTCTTTTACCAGCTGGTTGCACAAATTGTATATTGTGCAATTATTACGTACTCTTTAGTCTTTTCTGTTGTTCTTTTTCTTGACTTTAGGAAATTAAATTAGGGATGACAAAATATATCTTTGAATTGTGAATGCAATTGACTAATATTTTTTATAAAGAACTCCACTAATTATTTTCGTGATGTTAGCCAAATAATAAATATAAAATAGTAACAACATATGAACTAAACTAGGACTTGATTTCTCAACATTTTACGTCTCCACCATTAAATTTTGTATCCCAAATCTATTCAAAATAAGTTGAAATTCATTAAACAATTATTTATATGGTGCAGCCGTGGTAGGCGAAAGGTTCTTGGCCCGGGATATCACTTTTGAGAACACGGCGGGGCCGTCCAAGCACCAAGCGGTCGCGCTCCGTGTCGGCGCTGATTTATCAGCTTTCTATAGATGCGATATATTAGCCTATCAAGACACTCTCTATGTCCACAAAAATCGCCAATTCTTCATTGAATGTTTAATTATCGGCACAGTCGACTTCATCTTCGGCAATTCCGCCGCCGTGTTCCAAGACTGCGACATCCATGCAAGGAGGCCGGATTCCGGTCAAAGAAACATGGTAACAGCCCAAGGCAGAACTGATCCGAATCAAAACACAGGTATTGTTATTCAAAATTGCAGAATCGGATCCACTTTGGATTTAAGACCTGTTCAGAGTAATTTCACCACATATCTCGGGCGCCCGTGGAAGGAGTATTCGAGAACTGTCATAATGCAATCTTTCATAACTGATGTAATTCATTCTACTGGTTGGCATGAATGGAATGGAAGTTTCGCGCTTAATACTCTGTTGTACGGCGAGTATCAGAACAGCGGCATCGGCGCCTCCACCTCCGAGAGGGTGAAATGGAGAGGATATAAGGTGATTACTAGTGCGACGGAGGCGCAGAGCTATAGTGCCAGCAAATTCATTGCAGGAGACAGCTGGTTGAACTCTACTGGATTCCCATTCTCTCTAGGGTTATAAAATTGAAACCCTAATTCTTGGATTTGATAAGTTAAGTAGTAGTGTTAACGGCTATCTGGTTGTGAATTGTTTTCGAGAATATGCAGATCACTTCAATATGTTGGTTTGTGATCAATTTGGACTGTATTCTATCGACTTATTTTAGTGCAAAAATAAGTTACTTTATAGGTTTCCCAAACATAGGCAAGAATTTGGGCGCGTTTCATAAAAAGCCAGATCCACACAAATTTTAGAAAATAATAGGCCCAATGATACTTTCATTTAGGGAAAAATTCATAAATAAAGTGTATATTTTGCACCAATTCAAACATCAGGTTTATAGTTTGAAAATTCAAAAATTAGATTTTTTATATTTTTTATTTATGAAATAATAAAAAAATTAATTAATTTATTATTAAATATATAATATAATTAACTCATCCCACATGCACCGTCCATACCACTCCGGGGACTATTCCGGTAATCATTCTGGTCACAGTTCAAAAATTTTATAGGGTACAATTAATTCATTGGTCACAAATCAAAATTTATAGGTCACACAGTTACAAATTTCTAAATTAATTGATCACAGATTATATAATTTTTAGATCACGGATAAAAAAATGGTTGGTCACTTATTATATTTTTAGTCACAAAAAACCAAAATCACTATATCCTCCACCACTGCCACTACACCCACTTGCAACCACCCTAACCTGCCACCACCGCCACAGCACTACAACACTACCAACAACAAAGTCACTGCCAACAAATCACCACACACTACAACACCACCCAAACCACCAAACACTACCAACTACAAAGCCACAGTCAACAAATCACCACACCACCACTGCCATCACCAACTCACACACTACAACACCACCCAAACCACCACAGATCAAGCCCAAACCACCAACAAACAGATCTACCAACACAGCCACACACTAATGACATATGCGTCCAACACCCACAGACCATCCAACACTACCAACAATGAAGCCACTACCAACAAATCACACCACCATCGCCATCACCATCGCACACACTACAACACCACCCAAACCACACAAATCAGCCCAAACCACTAACAAACAAATCCGCCAACACACCCGTACACCAACGACAGATGCGCCCAACACCCACAACCATCCACCAACACAGCCGACCCACACACCAGCATCAGCGCCTCGACGCTGCTAGGGACGGGGGAGGGGGAGAAGGGGAGGGGGTGGGAGAAGGGAGGAGAAGCAAGTGGAGGCGGCGGGCGATGGAGAGAAATAGTGAGAGAGTTGAGAGAAATAAATTATTTTAGGGTTTGGATAGATTTATGTTTGATATATAAAATAAAATACCTGACTTTTGAATAATTAAACTTTCAACCTGATTTTTGAATTGGTGTAAATTATAGACCTGATTTTTTGTAATTTCCCTTTCATTTATGCATAAATCATGTTATGTACATTGGATTTGATGAAAATTTCGCTTGTGCTTTGTTTTTATCATCTAACACAATAAAAGCGAGCCTTAGATTGATTACTTGTGCTTTCGAAATTGACTAATAGCTTTTATAACCCACAATGTTTACGTTGCCAATGCACATTTCATAAAGTTTTATCAAAATCTACTAAAAATTTGATTTTGATCCCTACCAAACAAGGGCAAAAGTCTTTCAAGTTCATCGCAAGAAACAGGAGTAATTTAACCCATCAGACAGTTTCACACTTTCAATGCAGTTTCCTACTCAAATTGGAAGAGAAACCTGAGATTTGCATTACAAATGAAGCCAACATAGCAGTAATGGGAACTGAATCACAGATCAACAGTGGACCTACTAGATGCCCTTCTCATAGGCGATTGATAACATCTTCGACCTCGGATGGGGTGTACAGATGATATCTTGGGGCCACACTCGCAATATCAACGTTATTGGGGGTAACCTGACATTCCATTAACAGTGGGCACAAGTGTCAATAATATACTCAAACACCAAAAATACTTGCACCACCAACCCAACCCCTCAAGCCCGATCAATGCTCACCACCGAGCAGAATTTCACAAACCCCCAAAAGGAAAAAAAATTTATAGGCTAAGATTGCCTGTAAAATCATGAAGCAGCTTACTTTTTCTTCCATAACTTGCTTCAAAATGGAAAGTAATATTGTCTCGGCTTCTTTAAAAGTTAGATCCTGCACACAAACAAACAAATGAACCTAACATCCTAGGGGTACAGTTTACTTTTGCATCATGTTATGATATTTTCACATGGAGAGCCTTACATTTTACACATCTCACTAAAAGTATGAGTTTACTTCTAGAGTCCAAGATATCAAGAAATTTAGGAAATAATCATTGGTCAACTAGATGTAACATGTAGTCAAGTAACAAAATTTGGCACCTTGTTATACTGCTCTTGCAAAGAGCTGTCAGCGCCTTCAAAACCTGAACCAATGGCTTTTGCATTGCATTGCCAGAACGTGCCAGAAGGATCAGTATAGTATCTGTTTATTACAAACTCCAATTAGTAGAAAATACCAGTAGAAATGAATACCTAAATAATCGGAACGTAGTGGAAGTAAAATTGTCCAAAAATATACACACAAACAGCACATTTTGGAATCAAAAAATTGCTTTTCACAGGGAGGGAACGAGTTTCCAGAAAAATTATTGAACTGGTCACCTTTAAATTTTTGTAAAAATTACATAACTTATTTTGGAGTGTGAAGACAATGTATGATCTAAGTAATAGAAACAACACTCCTTGCACTATGAAAACTCAACCATTTATCCAGCATCATGTTGAGACAACAGTAGATACTTCAGCAAAATTTCTTTACTACAAAATCATATATGTAGGTGGTTTGATATCAATTAAAAAATTAAATAGAGTGGATAGTTTCCTACGCATGTTAGCAGTTATATACTTTCCACGTGCTCAACAGTATGGAGGCACAAATTAATTTGATTATTCAATTCCAGTTAGCAAGTGTGGTCTAGATATAAATTTTTACTCATTGTTCCAGAATTCAGGATGCTCCAGCATGTTCATCCTGCCAATAAAATTTCTTAATTACAAGTTTAACAAATATCACTTTGAGTTAAAAAATTTACACTTGTGTGACTGATGCAAGTTGAAGAGCAATCAAGTGGAGGCAGAAATATTCTAGACCATTGCAACAAGTTATACCAACCCTCCAGTCTCAAAGATCAATATTTAAATAGAAGTAATACTTACAAGCTGGGACCATTCTCGTCATGACCAGCGATAAGAAGAGATACACCAAATGGTCTAGACTGCATGAAAAGAAAAAAAAAACAAATATCAATGCAAAAAAGTAAAATTGGAAAATGCTGAGAGTCTGAAGGGAAAATAAGATGCAACTTTAGTACGTCGATCTCATATCCTATGGAGATGATAAAACAATATAATAAGCAGGCAGCAGCTCAAAGTAAATTATACGCTGTAGTACATCCCCAGAGAAAAGTTTACTTCATATTAACAACTTTATCTTTGTGGCAGCTATTACTGTCTACCTTCATAAATTTGCATTCCCACGAAGCCCAAATTGTGCATTAAGAACTCCTCATTCTCTTGGATCTCAAGAAGCAGCAAAATTAGAATGTTCAGGAGGATCCCATACAGGGCTATAATTATAATCAAATTACAGATATATTTCCTAAAAGTAAAGGTTAAAAAATGTGATAATAAGAGATACACCATAAGTTTCACTTATATCCTTATACATAAATGCTACAAGGCAAAGAACTCTAACAACCAAAGAGAAAATATAGAAATGGGAAATTTATAGGTATGATAACAGACAGATGCTAACCATTGACTCTTCGTCTCCCTCACCAAATCGCAGGGCAAGATCACAGAGAGCTTGTGTAGTCGACTCCACTGTCATGGGCTCACCGTAAGAGAACCTATGATTCTGGAAAAAAAAATTACTAATCAATGAGCAATTGTCCATACCATTCTACCACTGCATGACAGGTTACAATGGAGATTAAAGGTTACGAGTACCTGAGTTTCAACTCGAGCATGTTCAACCAGTGTTCGGGCATCAGCAATTAAACCACTCATAGCACAGCCAATATGCTCATCGATTTCCATAATCTTCTCCACGCTGCTAGGCTCCTACAACAGAATTAGAATATGAGATGCCTCAAAAACATCACATAAATTGTTTGACATCTACTTTCAAAAAGAACTAGTAAATTTAAACGATGCCAACTCCAAGGCAAGCTTTTTAGATATTAATATGGCACTGAGGCAAATTGACCATGGTAAAAGCAGGGATAGTCTCTTAGTTTCTTGCGACCAGAGCATCCATAGCTCAAATCTCCTTCAGCATTAAGTTTCTCAGAACAAAGTTAGCTATTAATAAACTAGTTTTGACATTTTTTAAACTAGAATCACACAATATGAATACTAGTGTTAGAACACTGTTTCCATTTATTCATTCTAGTTCATCTGTAATTACTCTTGTGAGGGCTCAAGCTCAAAAAGCAACAAACTCCATTATTTACACAGTGATTAGCATTTTGCTCAAGAAGACCTCCCAGAAATGAAATTTAGAAATAACATAAGGTGATATCCGTGCTAGTACAATTACCTAAACAAAACTTAATTATAATTTGGTGTCAACGGAACAAGTTGAAGTGACAGTGATAAACATAGCCCATGATTCCCAAGGAAAAGGGTAGTAAGTGTACCAAAAGTGGAGAGGTAATGCGCTTCTCGACAGCAAGAACCACCCCTTCCTTAGTTTTTATGGCGATCGCAGTGGAACCCAACTATAAGGATCACAAATAATACTAATTTTAATCAAAACCAAAGTAATTTAAACTAGATTCATGAAGATGGGTATATATTAAAATTATCGTGAATGCGGTTACCTTGATGGCTTCAATGGCATATTCAACTTGAAACAATCGGCCTTCCGGAGAGAAAGTGTTAACTCCTCTATCATACTCAGTCCTTAAAAAAAGGGATAAATTCACATAAAATTTCTAAA